CATTAATGTCTAAGCTATTATTAATAGGGATGGATTACAGTATATTTTGATGAGTAACCGCGTTAATAGCTAGAATTTTTTGGTCTAAGAAAGCATAGTACTAATATCCTGTTTATTATCATAAGTATATAGCCTCACTGAACTACTTTATATACCCGTATATATATATACCATACTATATATATACCATTATATACAGCATAAAATAAATAATGTATTGATGAAAAAAAATTCTCAGTATTTATGTAACTTTAAAGAGACAGAACTTTTCTCATTGCCATGAATTTTTTCAATTACATTTATCATATCAAAAAAATCTTGCAACTGATTTAAAATATTTAATTTTTTATCAATTATTTTGTATTAATATAAAAAACGTAACAATTTATAGTTATATTAAATTGTAGGCATTATTCATATATGTAGGCATATACGTAAAGACATTTACGTATGTAAGTCAAAGAAAAATATTCACTGATAAATAAGTTTTAATATTACCAATGTTAAATATGTAATCTATATAATATATCTAGTAATTAGATATCTAGTAATCATATTTGAATTGATGAAACAATAAATTGGAAGTTTTTATGTGACCATAAAAATGACATCGCATTTTGGAAATCAGAAGATTTTATCTCTTTCTCGGTGACGCAGTCTTTGCCAATAGGGCTAATAGCAAGTGACGAGTATAAAAAGGCCTACTTAAACTTAATTTTATTACAGCAGATTTACAAAAACCATTTCAACTGTTTTCAATGAGGTTATTATTCGTATTGTTACAAGTTAATTTTCTATTTTCTCCATTTCTTTAAGTCTGTTTCCTATTTCACTATCGGGCTACTAGTCGCATGGGGAGTGTCCATCCTTTCGTTATATACTTTCCTCGCGTCTGGACGAAGCGATATCATTCTTACTTTCTCATGCGCATAATAAGGGATTGGAACTGTTTGAATGAATCTGTTTTTACTTACACTAACACTTGATTAATATGGGATAGTAGGTTTACCAGCCTATCAGAAGCCCACCACCTTCATGTACATGCCTAACGTCCAACAGGTCGAAGGAATGTCAGGTGCTATTCATTGTATATTTTAAAAAATCAACAAATTACAAAATAATAAATTAAAAACTTGTGACGGTCAGAGCAGAAAAGACGAGTGATAGTTGATTTAAATGACCTTTTTAATATTTTACAAAATGGCTAAAAATTTTGCAAGTTAAAGTGAAAATCCATAACAATTTTAATTATACTTAAGTGACGCTTTAAAAGTACCTCGCGAATTTCTAGCCACGAATTTTATGCAGAGAGAGCGAGGAACGTTTTTTGGTTCCACTAAAATTTAAAGACAACTTATTTGTACATTTATTTAGTTTCATAAAGAAATTGCTTTTGTAATTTTCATACCCTTTAAATCTTGACATTACTAAAGACGGGATTATTTTTATTTTTATTGTAAAAGCAAATTAATTCAGTTCCAATCAAAATTTTATTATTTTTATGGGTAGCACAGTTAGGGATTTAATTTATCTTTAATTGCTGTAAATTAAAAACAAATTAAGTGTCCATAATATACATAGACCATTAAAAAATAATAAAAAGGTGAACTCTTTTCCCAATACTAAATTTACCATTGTTGGTACTAGGTATTTAACTATTTTTTTCTATAAAAACTGTTAAGTACTAATGTCAACTTTTATCACTAGTTTGCAGCAAGCTGTCGAATGAATTGAGAACGAAAATCCTTAGCTTTTACAATAGAAATGTGATGATTCAATAATGCTAATAAAAAAGAGGTTCTCAATTCGACTTCACGTATTTTATGGTTTTCTTTTATAGACATTAAAAAAATCACAAAATATAGACAATATATTATATAAACATTACAGTGAAATCTTTCTAACTTCATTATTTATTACGAAACTATTGATTTTGGGTATCGGTTTGCCATTTGAGAGTATAAGTCGTTCTAATTCTTACAGTAACACTATATTTAATACTTTCCCTCTCCTTAGCCCGAAAATAGTCATTAAAAATACTAAAATATATACTATATAAAGAGGTTAGTCTGCGTTTATACCTTAGAGATTTATTTTAAGTAAAATAACAGAAGTGTGCCAGTATGCCCACGCCCATGTGTTCTTTCACCTCTATGGCTTCCTGAATACGAAAAGTCTTCTAAATAAGGTTCGTAGTTTTTGTTTGTTTGAACGACACACGAGTACCCTCTGTGTAAACATTCGTCTGTGTAATATAATTTGAAAGCAGGACTTTTCTGATTAACTAAAATGTTAATCTAACCGAAATTAAGGAAGTAAATGAAAACAAAAAAATTGGATTGTTAATTAATTTAACTGGTAACGTCAAAAAGAATTTTATAATGGAAAATAATTGCTCTACATTTAAAAATACGACAGAATTTATTCGTTTACTTTTTATATTTTCCATAGAGAATAAGTTTCATGGGTATAAATATATAAGTGTTTTATATTTTTTCCGTTGAAGTCTTCGGGTCAGTATTTTTTTTTCATCATACTCGGCTGTACAAAATCAATCACCCGCGTAATATTTCAGATCAATGATTTTAGTTCATTCAAATCGAGATGAAATATGCTAGCATAATTTCAGAATAACGAAGGGAGTCAATTTGAAAGTAATAAAAGAGGTTATATGCAAAATTAATAAATATCGCTTCCAGGACTAATATTAATGAGTGGCGAAAAAATTTAGGTTGTCCAAGACACTTGTTGACCTTAGCTTGTCAACCTTGCGTTAAGTATCAAGGATCCTCTGATAGGTCACGTTGTTCAAAGCTTTGAGAGATGAGTGCTGCTCATTGAAAGATTGTGAAACGTAGACTCTTTATGTGTACATTCCTTGGATTCAATTGCTCCTAGTCTCTAGTGGTGGAAAGTCAGGACTGGCTTTTGTTTAAGATGTAATATCTACCATAAAAATTACTTAGTGTTTTGTAAATTCTCTGTCTTTATTTAATATTTTAATCAAAACATCTGTAATACAAAGAATGAAACACCATTGAACTATACTCACATCGTAGAGTCATTATAATTTTGCTATCATGAACTTATTTGATAATTTTGATATTGTTAAAGTTAATGTTAAAAGGAAATCGGTATAAAACTATCTAACCTTTCAGTAATATTTTAACCTCATTACTTATCTATATTCTATAGATATTATTTCTCTGGTTAAACGTAGAAACGTTGAAATGGTTCCATATAGCAATCGCGGCTTTCAAACTCAATTTTTCCCATGCACTTACTTGTGCGGATATATTTTATACTATAATTTTGTTGTCAATAAATATTTATTATCAGTATAATATATCATAAATATATGTATAATACATTAATTAAAGGAAATTTCCCTCTCCATAAAATCTTGATTGACGAAGAGTTTCGCAAAAACAAGCAATCCTAAGAGACGTCCGCAAAGCAAATAACAGGAAAGTAGATGCACGCCTCATGCTCTCACAAAATGGACCAAATATATCAAGTATTTTTACGATTCCAGTCAATTTCAATAAGAAATTGAATTGGGGATGTAGAAGTAATCCGCACCTTTATAAATATTATACAAGATTTAAGCCACGACTTCGTTTGAGTGTTTGAATTTCCGATCGAACTCAAAGCGATTTGATACTGATAGCATTCAAAGAAACCAGTATCATTACTATTTTTTAATACAAAATTATTAAAAATAAACACATGTAGGCATCAATATTATCGGATTTACATAAGCTGTACACGATTTAAAAGGTGATTTGATACAATAATAATGAAATAAACGTTTAAATAGCCAATTAGCAACATATAATTGTGTTTCTTATTTTAGTTTTATAAAGTGATTTAATTAAATAATTTCTTACTAAACCTTTAGGTTAAGTAATTAAATTAGTTCTTGCTCACTATTCATTTAACAAAGAGTTAAATCTATAAACTATAACAAAGACACTTTCACTCAGAGAAAGTGTTATTCTTAAAGGAGGCAAAATATAACAATAAGCGTGAGCATTCTGTGGGCGTTCAAGTATTGTTGTCAATACAAATCATTGAAATATTGATAACAGAATTATATATAGTGAATCTTTTTAAAGGACAAATAAATTAAAATATACGATTTATAATTTAAAAAAATGTCTTACTTTCTGTGCTCTCATCTTTATTATGTTACCCAAATATCACGCCTCATTTAAATTTATATATTTTATCAAATTAATACTATATAAAAGAGTTTCATTTCATTTTTAATATGAAGTCGGATTCTCTGTTTGCGTGTGTCACGGCCGTTAGAACGTTGATAAATATATTTAAACGAGCTTTTAATAATAAGGTTTAGAGCAAACATATTGTACAGGTATGTAGCACTAAATGCTTCCACGTAACTTTATACTTATTGTAAAACAGTCTTCAATTTAATATGTCCTTCAAACAAGGTCGATCAAATTTTATTTTGATTTTGTATAATCACAAAATTTCAACATCCCAATATAACATTTCTCAAAATTTCGTAATTATTAAGTTGGTTAATATCAAAAGTAGAAAGCCTAATGTTTGTAATAAAATCTTAAGAACTCTTGAGGACCGGGAATTAACAAAATAATTAATTAATTAACGTACATAAACAATTTTAAGGGAAACTTTAATTGCGGCATCAGTCATCGCTATTATTAATGCGAGCAGGCGACTGGCACGAGCCGAACTTAGCATAAAACAGTTCCCACAGAAATCGTTAGCACATAAACACACGAATCATCATCATTGGACCATAAAAGCTAAACGTCTCGTTAAAAATCGGAATGCTATTATACTAGCAAATTTTATTTATGTTGTAAAGACTACGCGATGTTATGAGACGCGCCGTGTGTTTTAATTTGGTCGGGTACGCGTAGTTGTACGCAGTCCCGCAGGCCGCAGTGACGCCTGAAACGGTGAACCTTGAAACCCCCTCAGACCCCCTCTCCCCCACAACCCCTAACCCCTAACCCCTCAACCCACTCCCCGCCGGCCTCGAAATAACCTCCTTTAGTTTTCTCTATCATTGTAACGTACAACTAATTTGTAATTCTATTTTTGATGACGTATTCAAAGTTTTTATCGATCGATATCGAGTCTGAAATCTACAATAAACTAGTATATTTATAAAAATAAATAAATATTTTACTTAAAAAAGACAAACTGCTGAATAAGGTTAAAGAGAGAGGTTATTTGAATTCCAAAAAACCTCAAACACCGCATGTGACCGAGTCAAGTCAGATTGTCTTGTTTAATACCTTCACTCTCAAAAAGTAAGGTTTGAAAGGTAAACATTTTCGAAAATAAAGAACAAAGATAATCTCCAAATGACTTCAATACGTAATAAAATCAATAGATTTTTGAACAATAATACATATATATTATCTTCTCTCTGTACACAGTGTAAAATGCTGAGTATGTCTAATATCCTAGTGAGAGGTACTCAAGGCTCAGGTTGACTGGGATCAATGGAGTTAAAATTCAAGGCTCGATTGGTATATTCGTCCTTATTCATAATCTGTTCTTTGATATTCAGATGTATTATAATAAACCTAATATTTTTTGTGTCAAATTATGTTGTATTGAAAATTGGTTAAATCTTAATATATACTAGTGATAGAAAATTTAAATGTAAAGATCGTTAATTAGAATTAACCGATAAATTGTCTGTGAACAGTCATACACTATGATTACAGATGTGGGGAATTCCCCTGTTTTGTGGTGAGCCTGTCGGTGTATTGGCACGCTTCGTAACTCCTAAACTAGGTCACTAGGGGAGTGTTAGTTCGATCTATTATTAATACAATTATATATATTTTTCATTGGATGTAATAATCTGGCATGTCGTTTAAGTTTATATAACAGTTCATATGCTTTAAACCACAGAACACAATACTATAACTTAGAATATCTGCAATGCAGATTACATTACACGAGAACGATTCTGAGGCGAAACAATTTTTTTTTACATTTAATCGAGCGTTGACTACCATTTTACATTTAAATATATATAAATTTAATGATAAAATTGCATAAAATAAGGTTTCGACTTCAGTTATATACAAATACATAATTATAACATACGCAATGAAAAGAGAAATTTGTATTAAGAAAATAATAGCCATTATGACGTCATAGTAATCAGTCCGTGAAAAAATAGAAGTAAAAAGTGTATAGTATATTGTTATAAGTATATCTTTATAAATACGGAACAAGGACAAACATAGCGAATCAATTTAAGCCAGTCAATTGGCGTGTAGTACTGACTACTCGGGAGCTCTATCCCTGAATACATTCACTCAATAAGTTTATTAATTTCATTCCGCTCTCGATATTTCCAGAAATTACCAGTTCATATAATGATTGTCAATAACCAACCAATTATTAAACCACTTCAATTACAATGGTTTCCTTTTTTTTTGTTTTATTTTTTTTTATAACAGTACAAAGCTGTATTTATTCAGCCATCTTTATATTTTTTTATTAAAGGAGGTTGTATATTATGAATTGTTTAAAAATTTTATTGGATAGTTTATTTAAGTATGGCTTGGAAGAAAATTAAAATTTTAAATAATATTTAAATTTTTACTAAGAGTTTACATGATATAACAGGTTTTTTGTATAAAGCATAATATTTTTTTTGTTCTCGTTGGCGCGGGCATTGTCTATTGGGGCAAGGCCACGATGTACGGCATTGATCGAACTGGTCTCTACAATGATGACACCGGAGGGCACAGATATTATAAAAAAACAGTTTATTGTTTTTTTTTAATCTATATTTTATTAATCTACGAATCATGAAAACTGGTGCATATTAAATATATATGTATGTAGAATATTTCCTTAAAACTTTATATATACTCATAAATAGGAGAACAAATAAATATTACGAAAATGAAGTCATATGTACGTACATACATATGTAATTTTTTACCATAGTATAGAACAAATTTAAACACTATTATATGTATATTTAACAAGAGAAAATCTTGGTTATAAGACTTATAAAGTCTTCATTAAATCCAATTCATTTAATGTATATTATATATCAAATAAATTTCATCCCTAAACTTACATATTAAGCAACTAAGATTTCGAGCTTCCTTTGTCTATAAAGCGCTTCTAGCAGACGGCGGGTCTCTTTCTAAATTGCCGCATCAACACGCTACAGCGCTATAGCGCTTTATTCTTGGTGTCACGGAATATGGGACATTGCTTCGCCCATTGAAATGAATTTCTCTTTTAGATCTTTGAAATCCAACCTTTTCATTTTCAGTATACAAAAAAACATATTCCTCGATATTTTCATATTCTGAACGAGATACTAGAAACATTTTAATTATTAATTCAATATTAAAACTTGTTCTAATATTATTTTAATTTCATTAATGTACTTTGTAAAAGCTGTAACTCGTTATATCGATTGGGTTTACAAAGTAAATGTCTTTATTTCTAAATCTATCTTTATATTCTGTTTTAATATTATGTATGTAATATGCTTCAGCCTACATTATTATTAGCTGCTAATATTTTCTATATTTAGTATATTCGCGTAATTGCGGTTTCGCGGTCAGATGCAATAATTATATATATTGATAGCATAGAATCTGTTTTAGATAATAGAATATTACTCTTAAGATATTACGTCTTTGTGCGGCTTAAATCCGTCCACACCTTTCCTATTCTTTGTTTGAGCCGCGAGCTGGTTCTAAATAGTCCCATTCTCAGTTCCACGTCAAATGAACGCTGTATGCATAATCCATACTTCAACAGCTCGCTTCACTTTCAAAATTCTTTGACGCATCAGCATCGAGCTACCTCTTTTCTGTTCTTATCAGAGACGTAATTAATACCACGTTAAAAATTCAATACATTTTCAATGCTGAGGAAACTCTTTTTAAGTAAATTCCTTTATATTTATTTATATTTTATATCTATACTAGTTTTCCGCCCGCAGCTTCGCCCGCGTGGAGTTCGGTTATATCGCGTTTCCAAGAGAACCTTTCAAAAGTCTGGAATAAAAACTATCCTATGTTCTTTCTCAAGGTCAACTCCATCTCTGTTCCAAATTTCATTACAATCAGTTCAGTGGTTTAGGCGTGAAAGCGTAACAGACAGACAGACAGAGTTACTTTCGCATTTATAATAGTAGGGATCTCTCTATGTTTCGACACATTTAAAACTCTATTTGTATCTATTACACCTCTCAAGTTTTTCATTTTGAGTCAAACAGAATGTTCAAACAATTATATTAGTTAAATCTTGAATTAATAAATTATACTTTCTGTACCAAGAATTTCAATGAGTTCTTTTATTTATTTATGTTCGTGAGGAAAGAAGCTAGATTCTAGTGGGGTCTTATACCGAGTAAGTAAATATACAAGTCAATGACATCTTGAAATACTTGGATTACTTGTACTTTAAATGTTTAAAATAACTTTCCATAGATAATAAGTTCCAGTAAAAATAATATCGTTGAGTAATATATGATTGCTTCTTTATTTTTACATAACGAGTTAATAACCGCTTAAAATTCAAATTTCATTTACCGATTAAATTGTGATATAAAATTTTATTTATTCAGTCATTTAAAAACTTATCTGAATATATGCATACTGGAAATAAGCTATGCTTATCTAAAACGAACAGTCTATCAATAATTCATGAAATCTTTTAAACAGATATTCAAAATGTATGCAGTTAGCATCTTAGTAATGAGATCTAAGATTTTCATTCAGTTAAATGAAAGTAGTATTTTTGATAAAAAAAAAACTACATATTCCGGACGTTTCGGCTACTTTTCAGCAACCGCGATCACGGTTTTATCAAAAATAAAGTCGCGTAGTATATCCAAAAAACATTAGTTATATTAAAATAGCATCTTAGTATGTAGTTGCGCATCAAGTAGATCGCACGTGTGAACTAAATTAAGCAATATATAGCTATACTTAGGTAAATTAGCAAATAATCGTGTGGATATCGATCGCAGAGAACCTGCAAATACTGAGGTCATGCAGCAGGTTGTCTACCGCTGACCGGGTCGGCCGGATCGATCGACGTAGTTAGACGCCAAATGCCATTGTGTCGAACAACTCAACTTTTTTTCTTCTATTATTATTGTTTCATAGATTTGAAAGCGTTTATTCCTGTCAAATGTTTTTTTTTAAATCTGACATTACTTGCGAGAACTTGCACGGTACATTCTGCCAATGTCGTTATTATTATTACATATTTATAAAATAAATTTGTTTTACTAATGTATCAAAAATAAATGTATTATTATGGTCACGTTTATGATTGAATTAAATTTTTTTATCGCTTTAACCTTGTTTTACGTTACTATGCGTGACATTAATCGCAATTAGCTTTGTAAATAGTAAATTATGTTAGGTTTTATATGGAGGTGAATCATTCAATTAAGGAGGATGTTGACAGACAGGTCGAGTTTAAAGTTAACAGGATAAACGAGCTAAGTAAATTAATAACAGGTGTTGTAAAGATCTCTGAAGTATACTGTTTAGGTTTGGTTTAAATATTTTTAAAGAACGTGATAGAAAAGTAAATATAATGTTTTTTCCGGGGGCTTAAATATTTATTCAAAATTATTAAGAATGATATTATTATTGATTTTTTATTCAAGATTTTTTTATTTAAACTTATTTAAATTTAATTAATATATAGTTGTTCTTGGTTGGTTGTTTTAAACATATCCTTCATTTTTCATTGTATATTCTGCTAGTGTTATAGTTGTTTTAAAAAGTCTTTTAGTTTTTCAGTATGTCATAATATTAAGGTTAAAATTACGTGACGTTTCCAAGCACATTTAATAATGAACACTACAAGAGTATTTTGGTATGGCAGTAAATTTTAAATTAATTCAGCATTACGTATATGCGGTTTTATATTGACATTGGCGTTTCTCTACACATTTGATGGGATGCGGTAACTACGACGGTAAATACGGGTCGTAAATTATTTAGTCTGTGTAAAAGTTAAAATTAGTAAGCCTTTGTTATGAAACATCAAA